TATGCCATTTAAAACTAGAAGACTGTCTGAAACTACCTATTTATTGTTATAATTAATTGGAGGAACATAAAAGAACAATTTAAAATATAAAATAAATATTTAATAAATAAATATAAAATAAAATAAGGTGGTCTGAGTTTTACGTATGTCGTCGATATCGTTAACTTAGGCTTTGCTAAGCGCGCACTCGGCACGACTTCGAAGTTATCTCTATAAATACCGACAATGTCTTAGCTCGAAAAACTGAGCAAAGGCAAAGTACGATCTATAGATCTCAGCCTAACTGATTTAATGAAGTATAGTAAACTTTTTTACAACACTTAGTAAGATTTTTGAAAAAATTATTCTTGATCAAATGTTAAATTTCTTTAATATAAATAATTTACTTCATAAAAATCAATTTGGTTTCACAAGGAGTCGCTCGACATCTGATGCCGGTGTTGAGCTGATTAAATATATATTTAATGCATGGGAGAATTCACAGGATGCTTTGGGTATATTTTGTGGCCTATCCAAAGCCTTCGATTGTGTTCACCATGAAACATTAATCAGGAAACTTCAACACTACGGTGTAAGAAGTGATGCTCTTAAATTAATTATTTGATATTTAAGTAAGATAACGCAAAAAGTTGTCATTAACAGTATGAGTTCTTCCAGGTCGATGGTAAAAATGGGCCTGCCTCAAGGCTTAATTCTCGGCCCCTTTATGTTTGTTGTATACATTAACGACTTACCTTACATAGTAGGAGATAAACATGATATAGTATTATTTGCAGATGACACTTCTTTAATTTTCAAATTAAGTCGACAATTGCTAAAATATGACGAAGTAAATAATGCTATATCTAAATTAGTAAATTGGTTCAATGTTAATAATTTGCATTTAAATGGCACTAAAATGAAATGTATGAAATTTGAGACTCCAAATGTCAAACAATTAAATACTAATGTAATTTTAAATGGGGAGAAACTGAGTCTTGTAGATACCACCATTTTTCTTGGAATCACACTAGACGCGAAGCTTCAATGGAGCCCCCATATATCAAAACTAGCAAGCAGACTTAGTTCTGCAGCATATGCCGTAAAAAAGATTAGAAATCTAACTAGTGTTGAAACAGCTAGACTAGTTTACTTTAGCTATTTCCATAGCATAATGTCGTATGGTATTTTGCTATGGGGACACGCAGCTGACACTGAAATTGTATTTGTTTTACAGAAGAGTGCCATAAGAGCAATTTATGATTTAAAGTCTAATGAGTCGCTGCGACAAAAATTTAAGGAAATTAATATATTAACTTTGGCCTCTCAATACAGTAGGTACACAAAAATAAAAGTAGTTTTACAAAAATAAGTGATATTCATTCTGTAAATACTAGGAACAGACACAAGCTAGTAGTACCAGTTACTCGACTCCATCGAGTCAGTAATTCATTCTTGGGGCGATGTATACACTTTTACAACAAAATTCCAGAAAATATACAAAATTTGACCTGCCCAAAGTTCAAAAACTTTATTAAACTAAGTTTGTATAAAAAGGGTTATTATAATATTAAAGAATTTATAGATGATAATAACCCCTGGAAATGAGGTGATCGCTACCAGGCTATTTCTAATTTGATGTGTTATTAATTTGTGTAACACACATGATTGTAAGCTGTTATTTAAAAAAAAAAAGTCCCGCTGGGTTTCTTGCTGGTTCTTCTTTGGACTGTGTTCGATTTTTAAATATATATTTTTTTAATCTAAATAAAATTTAAATAAGATCAAGAACATAACGCGTGGAGCGTTATCATAGATAAAGCATCCATAAGTTTTTTAACTGTCTGGGCCTTAGCATAAGCTTAGTTTAATCTTAGCCCAATACAACTATAAATGCAAAACCAAAGATTATGCCAAGCATATGCAAAATTTTTCGCTCAGATTATCTACGAGAGTAAATAATTAAAGGTTTTTCGTAAGTAAAGTCTGAACAAAGTCAAAGTACGGTCTATAGATCTCAGCATAAGTGCCTAACGTTACACTTGCACAGGGTACAACTCATTTTACTAAGTAAAAATACTCAAGAGATTGATGGCTGTGCCTGTGTTTACATTAAACATGCAGTAGAATTACCAGTGCATGGATATTAGCTTTGCAAAAAGTTAAGAGCAAAGTTTCACAACTAGACACTTAGGTAGGTAGAGTAGAGATAGGAATAATAATAGAATAGGAGAAGGAATAGGAAGGAAATATCAACCACTCAGACCCATTGCATGTGGTTACGCGCCAAAAGAGATTATCAATATTCTACAAAAATTGAAAATAACCTTACGACATGCTTATCGCACTATAAAACGATTCACTGAAGATTCAAGCTTCGAAGATCGTAAGAGGACGGGCCTACCTCGTACAGTTAGGACACCCGCGATCATCAAAGTAGTGAAGGCGCAAATCCAACGAAATACTTTTCGTAAACAAAAAATCTTAGCTCTTCAGATGGGCTTAAGCAGAACCATGGTCAACAGAGCGATCAATGAAGACCTAGGACTTCGAGCTTATGGTAAGAAGACCGGACATTTTTTTGAACGAGCGTTTGAAAAATATTAGGCTGGATAAATCCCGCGTTTTGTTACGGCGGTAAACGGGAAAAAAATACCGCGAAATTTTGTTATCGGATGAAAAAATTTTTAACATCGAAGAAAGTTATAATAAACAAAATAATAAGGTGTATGTCCACAGCATTGAATAAGCCAGCACGCGTATTCCGAGGGTTCGCGGATTTGGAGGAGAAAATCTGCACTAAAGCTCATCAGAATTTGGAATCTCTCCGAACATCTTTGGCTAAAGCAACAGCACAAATAGATATGAGAGTGGTGCGTGCTGCAATTGATGATTGGCCGTGTCAATTAAGGACATGCATTCAAAATAGGGTAGGGCATTTTAAATAATGTAAATAAATTTATATTCTAAATTAAATTAGGTACCTTTCATTTCATATATAATTTCTATATAATTGTCAAAAAGTGTATCATTAATTTTATAATAAGTTTTTGACAGAACTTATGACCTGACTAAGTACATCTATCCTCGATTATGAATCAAAATGCAGATACAGACCAAGCAGACCCATTCATGCTACAACTATACTACTAACATAGCTGGAGCATGGCTTGTCTCTGCCACTTAAAATAACTGACTTCTTTCAATGGGTAAAATATTCTTTTATACTTGAATGATAAATAAAACTAGTTTCAAAAGGAGTAAGCTGCTGCCTGAAAATGCAGAAAAATTAGTAGGTCCGCACCATAATCTTCCACTTCTAAATTTTAATTATGATAATTCAAGTGCATAGACATTTATTTGACAGTTCTCTGTTTATTTTTATAACAGTGAAGTTGATTATGTACCTATTACTATTTTAATGATTACAAGACAAATACATTATTATAAAATAACATCTTGCATAAGTATTTAGTATTTGGCCAAATACTACCTAGATATTCTAACAAATGGGATAAGAGTAACCGATTAGGCCGAATACCAAACAATAGTTGAATATTCACTACACCATAGTAATGAGTAATTGTTGTCAAATCAACTAAAAAGTACCAGGAATTGTCTCCAATAATTTGAATTTAAACTCAAGATTGTCTCTGAATACAGACTAGTGTTTTTTTTTCTTTATAAATAATTTCCATTACGTATAATGGAGATTTGAAAATATAAACAATATACCTAATCTGTACAATTATAGAACCTGTACGTAAAGTAAGAAGTAAACTCTAAAAGCATACACTACTTCTACATTGTATCCACACCTTAAGCTAAATTATGGTGGTACCGTGAATGGGTCGGCTCTACCAGGGTAGGACCATGATTCTTACAGAACACCAGCATAAAGTAGCAGCCTAATGTTGCTGAGTTTCGTATGGTGGTAGTACAGAACCAGAGACCCTTTTTTACTGCAAACGAGGCCTTCCATCTCAGTCCTCAGGGGTGACTATGCATCTGCATTTTGTTTCTTAATTAAGGATAAATGTAGATGGCTAGAAGCCACAGCATCTACTTACCATCAGGTGGATGTGTGCTTGTTTATCACCCTTATTTTATAAAAAAAATAATACACAGGGTAATAAAATACCTGAGAATTGTAACTTACATATACACTTTTGCTAATTTTAAAAATAATTCTGAGTTGCTTCTTAACACTAGTAGTTAAAACTTAAATTCTGTGACATGTTTAGTACTTAGAACCCAAAAAAAAAGTATAATAACAAGCATGCTATGACTCCCTGAGATTAACCTTTTTTATAAGTAAGGTAAAGCTCAAGTCCACATTGTCACAATCATAAAATATGCAATTTGCTATTTAATGCACTGTGAAACAACTAAGAGACCAGTTCACATCTATCCAAACCAAAAATAGGCAGAATATCGTGTCCACTCTATATGATCATTAACTGTAATTGAGAAAGGTATTTAAAAATCAGATAAATTGTGTTCTTTAATCGCTTCTTCATTTACTATTACAAGATATATGGGCCCATGTGTATAGTGATAAGCCTCATGCAGTCCCCAGAGGATGCAAGGCCAGGAAAAAATTGTGGCTGCATAAGACTAACAAGACAACACCATAGAAACCACAATGTTTAACTGCAGATGATTGGTTAAACTGAAGATTTTTGACTTTGACAATGAATGCCAAGTTGTAGTTTCAAAATATTTTTTTTTTAGTATAGACTTCTGTTTTAAACTTATGAAAATATTGAGGACAAAAAATGTATGGTCAAGCGGCAAAGGCTAACATGTGAGTATTTATTCAAGTGGGTAAGACAAGGTGAAGTAAGATAATAATTATTAAGAAGTTATGCCTATAGTAGCGTAACGTGTAAATAATTTAAATGAAGTCCACGGTCTACAGGTTTGTAATACAAACTTTTCGAAAGCAGTAAATAAAACTGCAAATAGCGTTTTTTTTCGTACTTACTATTTTATGAGAATTCGTTTAAAAGAAAACTTACCTGAGATGTAAATTTTCTATAAATTTATCCGTAGTTAAATTGTCCAGCAGGACAAAGTCGGACACACCAACTTCTGGCTGTGTCGCCATCGTTTTAGGTCACTTTAATAAGCCACACAACAAACAAGAACAAATGTCCACACAATTTCTTGACCGTGATTACAGAGTTTGTACAATTATTGTCAACAAATCGTTAAAAATATAATGCAGCCGAACACAACCTCCTCCCGCCGACATTTCACGTAAACTGACATATTTTTAAATTTATGTCAAACTTTTGTCAGTCAAACCATTTTTTTTGGAGTTTATGGCCTGGTATCTAGACCTTTAGGCCAACGTCAAAGTCAAACCATTGTCATTGAATCTTTGTTGCCAGTTATTACCTTCTAACAAAATGAGGAAAATTTCGTTAATTTTAAAAGTTTACGTATTTTGCTGTTTCTTTCCTGATTTTTCACAAACTCAAACTATTTCTACAATGTTGTCAATATTCTCAAATAATTTTAATTTATGTTTTCATACCTTCCTTTTTGAATTGTTTTTTTATCTGTCTGACGCCATTTTCCTTGTTGTAGGCGCCTCAAATGTCATAATAATTCCAATTTTCCGAAAATTACGTTTTCTTTCCTTTTTTACGTTATTTTTTATATTTCATTGATATTGTTGAACATTTTTGTGTGCAATTAGTTTTTATTTGCATAAAACATTTATTTTGCGCATCTCTCTGGTTCGGCTCTCCAAGGTTCTTTGATTGATATTTTACAATGAATAGCAAAGATCTTCATAAAAGGTAGCGAGTAACTTTGACGCCCACGGAAGTGTCATATCAAGGGCTCCAGGAGGTTGTTTTCGGCAATTTCCTTAAAGGAATGTGCACGTGAAGTGAATTTGTGTTAACCCGTGTATTGTATATGAGACAATGAGCGAGTCACCAGGCGTGGAGTGGCTGCCGGCCTACAGTCCGGGTCCACCTCGCCACAGCCCTCTTGGTCCAATTCCCCGATTTCTATACGAAGATGTGCAACCTCCTTGTCTTCTTCAGGAAAATAACAACAAGGAGGCGGAGCTTAAAGAAAACTTGAACAAAATCAAACATACAAAACCAGCTTACAGGTAATTATTTTTTTTTACTCGTATTATTTAGCACCTTCAAATTTATGACTCATCAAGTCACTAGGAGGTCACCTTATTAAATACATTATTATGTTTTTATATTAATACAGTGCTGTATTAGTTTCTACCAAGTATATGCTGAAGATTTTTAATGCTTGATTTGACTTTTATCTCAGGTGTTATATTGTTATTGCAATTCAACATGACAACTTTTTATGATGGTTTCCGTAGTACTGTAATTCTACTTCATAATAAATACTTATTTTCTTCCATTACATGTCCCTTATTTAGCATATATGTTAATATATATATATAATATTAATGATGAAAAAAGTAGCTTAAGTCTGTTTACCAAGCACGAATAATTTCATACAATTACCTGGCAGTAGCCAGTGATCATAACAATTATGATACAGACCAACCACTTTAAGATAATTCGTGGTAGTATAGAGAGAGAGAAAAGGAATTAAAATCTAAATATATCTGCCCTTGTTATTGAGTAATATAGATATAAGTACATTTATGTATAGGTACTTACCAATTTTATAGAGTATTGGTTTTTCGATTTGGCTTGCTCTGACTTAAAGATTAAAACTGACAAATTGTTGAGACTCATTACTAAAATTTGTACCTATTTACCATTTAGAATTAAATAATTAAGTCTGCTCTGTAAAATAAATATTTAATTAGAATCAGTTTCTGTTTCAATGTCCGAAGGACTCTCAGATGAATTTTTATGTTGAATGAATAGATAGTTTTATCTGTTTGCTTATCTATCTAATTTTGACACAGCTGTTTTCATGTAACTTATATAATTTTGTATTTATTTTTTTACACAAAACAAACAATACTGAGTAATGCATCAAAAGCATCCTAATACAGAATATCATAAAAACTGCAGTTTAAAAATGAATGATAATCTTAAGACAAACTGAAGAACATGTTTACTAGCTTTATGGCTACAAGGTTTGCAATATCTGATGATAGCAGTCACCGCATATGTGTGAACAGTACTAGTATTTATAGGTTATTGTATGAAATTCTCTATGGTAGGTGACAATTATTTAGACCGGTGATTATCAACAAAATCTTTCTTATTCTATCATCATTTTTTTTTGACATACAATAATGTATATTTTCCAGTTATGCTAGCATGATCAGGCTGGCAATTAGCAGCTCTCCTAATGGAAAGATGACCCTGAATGAAATCTACAACTACATCTGTAATGCTTTCCCATATTACAAAGAAGCTGGCAAAGGTTGGATGGTAAGTTGATTATAGAAACATGACATGACATGTATTGTTGAAGATAGAGAATAATTATTAAAAGACAAGGAACCTACTGTAGTAATATATCATTATTTAATAAATGGCACATTTGTCTGAATAGTCTATATTTGCAAGTGTCATATTAGTGTTAACAATCATCAATAATATCAATAGTAATTTTGTATTTTTGTTTAATAATTGAATTTGAATCACCAACAGCTACATCTGATTAATAACAAATTAATGTTTATTGGTAAATTATTTTCACAGTGTGAAATGATTTTGTTTACAGAACTCTATAAGACACAATCTTTCTTTGAATAAGTGCTTCATGAAGGTACCCCGCAGCAAAGATGACCCAGGCAAGGGCTCTTACTGGGCAATGGACAGCAGTTACAAAATGGCGGAGGTCACGCCGCGTCGTCGACGCAGTCTCAGGGTCAGTTAAGGTTTCCATAATACTAATAATCATAATGACATTGTTTTGGTTGATTAAGAAGTTATAAAGACATTTTCCAGCAGAAACTGGTCAAATCAATGTGATGTGCCATATAACAGTGCATCTATACCAGTTTTACTCTCAAATATGTAATTAGTAGCTGTGTAGTGGTAGTGTAGTGATATTCACCACCCCATATCACCCATAGAAGTCGTAAAAGGCAACAGAGTGAAACAAATCAGGAGATGGCCAGCAAAATCTAAATTCCAATACATAGCGCACTATATTATTTTCAAATTGTCTCTTGAGGTATATGTGCAAAAGATATAACTGTCTTTTAGAAATGCACATTAATAGTTTAAAAATATTTTCAGATGGCACCATATAGTCCAGAGTGCAGTTCGAACAGCAGCGGTGAGGCTGGCATTATTCCATCAGTAGTGGATGCAGCACCCACTCCCCCAGCCACACCGACCACCCCCACAACACCCACATCACCCACAGTCACCACAATCATCAAGGAAGAACCCATTGTTAAAGAAGAAAATGGTAAGTATAACTTTACCCTTCCCATAAGTAATTATGTCCTCCCCCAGACTGAATTTCAGTCACAACGGCCACTCTTAACCTAGACTAGCCATCTGCGCAGGACTCTATTATATAGTTCAGAAGTGTTTGTAAAAGCACAAGTGCACTCTCTATCCTTTTACTCTAGTAGTCTAATGGGAAGGCAATCCAACACCATCGGAGGGTGATAAGGTGCAGGACCAAGGTGAGGTGCTTTCCAAGGTACGAGGGAGGAATACTTCCTAACTAAAGTTGTTAGCTATGTTGTCACCTTCGTCCTTTTGAATCTAATGTAAATATGTAATCACGAAATGCTTGTTTCTTGTTCCTACAATGAATCTAGAATTTTTGTAACTTAGTATATGATTCTATTCAAAAAATTTAGTAACCTAGAGACAACACAGTTTAATAAATTTACTTTAATATCTTATTTTGAGATATCATCATGATTAATCAATTTATGATGATCATGAAAATCATATTTAGATAAAAGTTAAACTGCTTACAAGTATCTTAGATTTATTAATTACAAACTCGATGTATTTATACCAAAATCTAAAACAACCACTAATTTGTAATAACTAATTTGAACATGAATTTTTTACAGATATGAGTCATACAGATGATGCACTCTCAGCACTGATGAATGAAGAACTGATGCCTGATGTGGATATAAGCCGAGGTAAATGATAATTCGACAATCGGAAGTATATTTACAACCAACTTCAATTTAAGTAAAATGAGAACATTATTAATGTACTCGAAGTCAATTAAATACGCATTATTAAGGATAACTCAAAAACTATTGGTCAGATCTTTATCAAATATCATATAGGAATCTTAATCATATAGGACCAAATGAGAAGCACCAGCTTTCCAAAAAAGAATCATCAAAATCTGTTCACCTCGAAAAAACTTCTGAAGTAACACACAAAAAAAAAAATTACAGTCAAATTGAAGACCTCCTCCTTTTTTTGAAGTCGGTTGATTCATATGTGATAGAGTCATTCACAACAGCTCTCTTTTAGGAGTCATGCATTCTGAAATTCCGAAATTTCGGAACAATTTTTACAATGTTTTCATTCCAGAACTGAGTTAAAGTATTTGATCTTTCAGAATGCACTTAATCAAATGCTTCTGAACTTCCATGTGTGAATTTATATTTATCGGTTGTTTTTTTTTTTGAGTTACAAATGAACTTACAGTAGACTTGATGGTAAGTGGCTACTGTACTCCATGGTCACCTCCAGATATCTTTATTCAAAGAACTCCTTTAATTGACCACCTCCTCACAGCGTGTAATTGACTGGCTCTCTTTACCCTTCAGAGCGAAATACAGCAGTGTAAGCACTGTGGTAGTACCTACCATGACATACTCCTAGGCAGGAAATTGTGAACAGGTTTTGGTGATAATTTTTTTATTAAATTTCACATTCTGCTGTTGGGGCTTTAAATCTTCTATACTCCATTTAAAATGTAAAATTATTTTGTTTGTTGTAGTTTTATGTAGTTTACTATACATTAAATGTTATTGTTTTACTGTTTAAAATGTTCAATTAGTAGGAATAGCTATGACATCAAGGCATCTATGTCATTTCATCTGTAACTTATGTAAACGATGGTATATGAACACCAATGTCTATTATTCGCACAGATAAAAGATGGTAATATTAATGGCGTCTCATCTATTCACCTCTAGCT